CAGTATCCCAGGTGGTTCCTAAAGTGTTGCTATGTTATTCCAGGTGGTTACTATGATATCCCAGGTTAGGTTGCTAAGGTGTTGCTATCATAGTTGTATGATGGTCACATTAGAGGAGTTTGGCTGACTGTGGTGGAATAAAAGCTGGGGATATTAGTTTTATACATTACATAAATGAAGTGACAGAGCATTCGCCCATTAATTCCCGAAGAAACACTGTATGAACAGAGTTTCTGCAGAGTTTCATGGGTCTAGCTCAAAAGCTGTAGGAGGAGTAGTGTTGTAAATTTTTCAAAGAACAGCAAGTTAGATTTTTCAAGCCAAATCAATAATCAGACTGTCGTTCGACACGACTGCAGAAGAAACATTAAAGTTGCGGCGTCTGGAGTGTAAATGACCTAAGTTACTGAAAATGCATTGGCAAAGATACATTTGCTCCTTAATCTCACTTTGCAGGCGATACTACATCATCAGAGACTTTTATTGTGTCAGTTCATCATAGATTGCAGCCTGACTGCTCTCTGACTGCCTTTGATTGCTTGTGCAAGAGAGATGTTTACAGCTGTATAACTGTCAAATAAAGCAAAAACACATTTCTGATAGTGTAATAATGTAATAATGTGATAATTATAATAACAATTAAATTATTAATAAAGTAATAATGATGAATATAAATCAGTAAATAAAGTCAAAACGGGATAAACTGCTGTTGTTGCTGATGATTTTAATATTAGAAATGCTCAATACAGGTATCAGTGAATTTATACAGTTTTGGAGGGTTACTGTGTCGAGAGGTTGACACCTATCATACTTTTACACATTTCTATCACAGAAATAAGTCAACTATTTTTTCTGTTGTATTCAGGTTTTAATGTTCACCATCGTACACCTCAGGTAGGCCAACACTTACCAGCTTAATGTGGGCAGCAGAGAATAGAAGCAAATGCCTCCATACTTAATAAAAAACTGTAAAACCTCTTTTTCGCCCAGGAAATGATAGAAATTTACTTTAATGTCAGTAACCTGGGGTTATTTCTACATGGGTCATTTTCTGGGTCAAAGTCATCGTAATCTTTACAGACGCAGGAACGAGCAGTCTGTAAAAAGGTGACTGACTTTGGATCTTTGGACAGGATTAAAATTACAGAGATATTCTGGGAACAGTTATATTATCAATCCTTAGTACTGAGATCTATTGATAAAATTCAGTATCAAAATAGTTTTCCAGTAGATCACGGAATGTGTTGTGACTGGACTCTCTTCTGCTAAACTACAAACAGTGGCGTTAACTACGTTTTTATTCATCAATACCACTAAAACTAAACATCAACGCCAATACAGTGGTATAGATGATACACTGCCCAGCACTACTGAACCTTATCATGTAAAACTAATCACATCCGAATAGTACTTACAACAGTAAGGCTAGCATTAGGCACAAATACAACAAGAGAAACATGCTTTCTGGTCTGTAAACCCAAAAAAGAGTCCTAGGAGGAGCATTCAAACATACTGACCCCATCAAACTTTCTCTGCAACATCCACTAATAACCAACAAGCTAAACTGAGCACTGTTGCAACACTGACGCCGTCTCACTCTGCTCTGACCATTCTGTCCTCAAAGTGCTGCATGGTTGAAGACCAGGCTCAAATTTTAGCAAAGCAAAAAGGCTAAAACCAAACAGCAAATAGATCAAATCTTTCTTACAAAACGTTCTTCAAAAAATTCTGCTTCTCCAAGGGATCCTCACGTTGGGTAAAGAGTCTGGAGGTCATTTCAGGCCAGAATAAAGATTTACTTAGTCTACAGGGCGGCGGGTGGACAAAGCTCTGTGAGTAAACCCACACCCAGCTTTTATTATTGGTGCACACTCGCCCATCGCCTCTCTCATTCAGCGTGTTTAGGAAGCAAGAGATGGTTCTTCCATGAAGAAGATAACTGTGAGTTGAACTCAACAGATTTGTGAGGGTCAGTAAGATGCCACAGATGGAGCTGACTGACCTGGAGGATCTGGTGCCTGTTATAGGTTATTATTGGCCACCTCACAGTACAGCCTGACCGACATGAAAATCTTACGGCCGACAGATTTTAAGGGTTAAAAATGAGAAAAAATTGCAAGACTATGATGATTTTTTCTGTTCACATTCACCAGTTTTGCTGAGCTGCTGCCATTTATTTAAACAGGGAGGAGCTCATATTGGGTTCTCCAGTGATTTGACCCCGTAAACACTGGGAGACTGAAGTTCGAATTCCAGCAACATTACAACCAAAAAGGCACTAATTATTATTGGCTTATCAGTGATATTTTCACCAATACTAATAAAACTGCAGGTCACCAATGCTGGCTAACCCTTCAAAGGTACAGGCGGCACGATACCTCTTTTCTGACACGATACTGAAACCATACATTTTAGATGATGCTGATTCTGATACAATGTTTAAAAAAACCTGCTAAGCTGGTGATGGCTCTTTAAACTTCCCAAGTTACCAGACTTAAAAGGTTAAAGCTCTTCACATAAGATGACCATCTATAAACGATCAGTGATCCAACTGCATTGATTTTGGAATGTTTGAACAGATTATAAACGGCTATAATAATATTTTGTACTCAATATTCAAGTATTCACTCATTTTCTGATGAAATAAGATCAAATTCTTATTTTTTCTTCGAAAATCCAAAAACATATATACAAATATGAATAGTTTGTATATAGATCTGGTCACATTTGAGCATGTAGTGTATTTTTTTAAGTCTGAATCCTTCCAAAATAATCAAATTGAACCAAATGGTGGTAAAATTTGAGACTTCACGGTGCAATTCATCATTTCCTAAACAAACAAAATGGACTAAAATCACTGAGAGGTCACATATTTACAGCTCTGGTACCTCTGCACTGCCTGGTGAGACAGACTACTTTCGTAATCACAGCTTGCACAGCCGACCTGCATCATCCTGTAGTTTTGTTTTGTCATGTTTCAACACAAACGGTTCAGCTTGCACTCTCACGCACCGTTTAACTGGGATCACACAGGCGTTTACAGTGGAGTATCCAGCTTATGTTCAACATAAATAACTCGAGTTAAAAGCCATGAAAGAGAAGCAGAAGGATGTGAAAAGGTTTCTATAGCCGTGAAACATCCAAGGGCGATTTGTAGAACATTTTCATGGGCGACTTAAAACAGACAGGTAGGGAACGAGATTGTTAGGAAGAGTTTGGACTTAGCATGAATATAGCAAGAGGCGTAACGATCAGCATCGCTCCACTGACTTCCATCGTAAAGCTCATCATCCTATCTCAGCATCTAATCTTCTTCATTTTCAGTAAACCGTAATCATGGATTGGACTTGACAGACCGTCACCCTGTACCCTTTTAAATATGATTTTTAAGTGGAATTAGTGATTTAACAGGCTTTGACGTGTTCAGTGGTCCACTGATTTAGCAGAAAATGAACACCGATCTAAGATAAGGCCTCATCGGTTCCTGGTAGCGTTCGACACAAGACGTAAGCCGATCCCAGATCAGCTTTCTCACGTTTGATAAATATAGCAGTGTTAGACTCCAGAAACCCTTTGCTTTAAGTCTGACAGATCTGTGCCTCCGTAACGTAGACCAACACAGGGGGGTGGCTTGGCCAGATGCGCACACTTGCAGCAGGATCCACACACCACCATGAGGAATGTTCCACAGAGCTCCTCTGCACCGTCACCTAGTTTAGTTTGGTTGCGCTTCAATGCAAAACCCTTCTGCTTCCACCATGACGGTGCATTTTAACCTGGATCCGAACGGGTGTTTCATCTTCTCTGTACCTGAGCACAGCATTCATCAGCAGAACCACCACAGTGGAGGTACACGGCAGTGCAGATAGTGAGATTACAAATCACAGATTAGTTTGGACGCCTGGATAAATTACGCTAGTACTTAAATCCACTGCCGTGCAAAACCCCATGCCAGATCTTTTGCCACTTCATGCCGAGTCAGTGGTGCATGAACTATTTTACTACTGTGCCAGTGTAGTGGCCGTTTCAGCTGCCCTGTATAAAGAGGAATATCATGTCCTGAATTGTCCAAATAAAGACAGAAATAGTTAAAAAATAAAAGAGAGACATCATGCCATGAATGTTCCCAATAAAGATGGTATATCATGTTCTTTATGGCCCAAATGTGAGACAACATATCCTACATGGCCTAAAAATAAAGAGGGATAAAACATATTCGATATGGCCCAAATAAAATGAGTAACACTTTCTATATGGCCCAAATAAAGAGGAACAACATATTCTGTATGGCTCAAATAAAGAGGGATAACATAAACTCTATGGCCCAAATAAACAAGGGATAAAATATTATATATGACGCAAATGAATAGAGGTAACATATTCTATATGGCCCAAACAAAACAAAGCTGTAAAATATCCTATACGGTTCAAATAATACTTTATGGCTAATATAAAAAGGAATAAAATATTGTATGTGGTGCTAATAGAGAGTGATAACACATTATATATGGTACAAATAAAACAAAGTTGTAAAATATCCTATTTGGCCCAAATAAAGAGCGATAACATATACGGTGTGGCCCAAATCAAGTGTAAATCTAGAGAGACATCCAAATAGAGTTTCTCTCAACTACTGGTAAACTTCATTTCCCAGTGCAGCCCTCAGTGCACAGTGATCTTATACAACACTCCTCCAACCAGCTACTGCATTCACATTACTGGCCCATCTACAGTCAGTGAGCCTCCTTCAGTGAGCACGGAGAACTCGCGGAGAATAAATGAACCCTGAAAGCAGAGGAGACGTGTGAGCCCTTTGGGCTGCAGGGCTGTCGGTGGTTCAGCAGCGATCTGAGTGGGGAGATAAGCTGAGAGAGAGAGAGAGAGACGTGGACAGAGCCCAGCAGGGATGTCCGTACCGAGGCTAGTCTGTCAAGCGCGGTTTCACAGCCGGAGAGTAAAAGTGTGCGAGTGACCGAAAAATAAAGAGGGGTCTTACTCACGTTTTGGCCGTGGGAGCGACGTGTCCCCTCCTTGTCCGTTGGGCTCCTAAATGCATTTGTATGCATTTGGTCCGAGCAGCCAGAGGTCTGAGTGAAAACTGAGTGAAAACGCCAGAGGCACCACAGACCCGGGTCACTTTGCCATGTTAGACTTTCCTCATTTTCACCGCCACCTCAGACTTTCCTCATGTTGAAAACAGACTTAATAAAAACACGATTCCCCTCAAAGCGTCTCCGCAGTAACGGCTAACGGCGGTCTGATCAGCGTCAGCCCCTCTCTGCGACCACTACAGGGAGAAGGAGAAAAACGAGGCTGTGCGGCGAAGCCAGCACGGCGTGTGTCCGCTCCGAGAGCCGAGTGGAGCCGTGCAGGGCGGCCGCGGTGGAGGAGGAGGCTGGCGGAGAGCTCCGCGCTGACTGATGAGGGGAGCAGCGCTCGGCTCCGCTTGTGTCTGGACTTGCTCGGTTGCCAAGCAGCCGGTGTCGAGTTTCACCAATTACTGACTGTTATGGGTCTTTCTTTCCCCACGCGCGTATTCAAATAAGGCCCAGCTACCAGCACTCGGATTGGCTGGCGTGGTCCCGCCTCCTGCGCGGCGATTGGCTAGAAGTTCGTACTTACAGTAGTCCGCGTCATTGGCGTATGTTAGGGACTAAAGGTGGACGATACTACTGTGATTTCGATACAATACCCCGCAAACTATACACACACACACACACACACACACACACCACATACACACACACACACACACACACACACACACACATATATATATATATATATATATATATATATATATATATACACACACATTCACATTTAAATTTACAGCATTTAGCAGACACTCTTATCCAGATTTACAAAAAGTGCTTTGTCTATCCAGAGAAAGTATCTTTGCTAGTTACCAATAGGTTAGAGAGAAAGCCAGTCCTGAGCTCAGATACTGCTAGAATCAGAAAGTCATTGTTGATACCTAGAAAAAAGGAACAGAGTTAAACACAGAGCAGTGCAATACAATACAATACATAAGTGCAGTACAATACTTTATAATCAATACTTAACTCAGTGCTCATTTAAGTGCTGTATAAAGAGATGTGTCTTCAGTCTGCGATTGAAGACCGCGAGAGACTCTGCTGTACGGACAGCCAGTGGGAGTTCATTCCCCCACCTGGGTGCCAGCACAGAGAACAGTCTTGATGCTTGCCTTCCGCGCGCCGTGAAGGATGCGAGTGAAGGGAGCGCAGCAGTGGGGTGACGCGGCTGGGAGATTGAAGACGAGCCGTGCTGCTGCATTCTGGATGAGTTGCAGAGGCCTGATAGCCTGCACTGGAAGACCAGCCAAGAGCGAGTTGCAGTATTCAAGCCTTGAGATGACAAGAGACTGCACTAGCACCTGGGTGGCCTCTCGAGTGAGAAAGGGTCGGATCCTCCGGATGTTGTACAGGAGAAATCTGCATGACCGAGTTAGGTTCGCAATGTGAGTCGAGAACGATAACTGGCCATCCAGAACCACACCAAGACTTCTTGCCTCTACAGACGGGACAATCGGAGAGTTCTCGAATGAGATGGCAAGATCATGATGTGGACCTGTACCTGCAAGGATGCATAGCAGCTCAGTCTTGCTAGGATTGAGCTTCAGATGGTGAGCTGCCATCCATGAAGAGATGTCAGACAGACATGACGAGATCCGACTGGAAACCTGTGTGTCAGAAGGTGAGAAAGAAAGCATTAGTTGAGTCTCATCAGCATAACAGTGATAAGAGAAGCCATGAGATGATATAACATTGCCAAGAGAGCTAGTGTAAAGAGAAAAGAGAAGAGGACCTAGCACTGAGCCTTGTGGGACACCAGTGGAGAGCCTGCATGGAGAGGATATATATATATATATATATATATATTTTTTTTTACAGGACAAGGAAAAACTTTTATTGTAATTAAATGGATAAATCGTTTTTTATCAAGTAATTTTGGACCATTTCTGTTGGTCCGTTCGTAATGAAATTTTGATGCATGAAAAAGGCCAACTGGACTTTTCAAATTATGTCATATTATTTGTTATGTTATTATATGTTATATTATTTTGTATGTTTACCTTTTTCCATTTTTTGTCCTAGGTACCTTAACATTACTCGTCCAATATCTTTATTTTTCTAGATGATACAGTCACAATTTAGGTAAGATATGTGACTGTATATATCATCACTGTCAGAACAAAACATCAATTTTTATTTCCATTTTTGTCTTCTGTTCCTTTTTTTTCACATAATTTGTGAACACTGGCTTCCTAGTTGGGAAGTATTGCTTTTCCACTCCTCCTAAATGTTGCTAGCCTAGCTAGCACATAACTATAGGATAGAACAGTATAGCCAGTCATAGTGTAAGATGATACTATAGCCAGTTTAGCTTTGTTCTACTACAAAGTTGCTTAGTTCTCTATTTTCCTAACAGTTTTTAAAACTACTTGCCTACTAGTGCTGTAGGCATGGAACAAGACTATTGGCCAATATTAGCAAAGGAGGTCTGACACTATTAACCTATTCCAGCACAGGATGAGGGGCAGTATTAGCCACCTCTATAGTGAAGAAACAGTGAGAAAAACAGTAGAACCCATTGATAAGTGACAGCTGGCTCTTGGCTCCTGTTTACATTATAAATACTCATCAGTGGAACCGATTTAGAAACAGATTTGACTTTTATTTAAATGGCTTTTTAAAGAGTCAGGCCAGCTCAATGTTTCAGCACAACCAGACGTCTCATCTGTGAAAGACTCAGCACTGCTGCTTCACACAATAGCTCAGTGTTCCAGGACAGCTAAGCTACTGAAGCTTTTTCATTTATACTAAAATGTTCCCCATGTAAAGTTCCTTCATGCTTTAAATGCTCGTTGAGGCCCAGAACACATGTCAGAAATTCAAAAATGAAGACTGAAGTTGAGCCAGTTAGCTTTATTTGCAGTGACCGTCTGGCAGAACCATTTCCTTGAATGATACACTTGAGGTACTGAATGTAAATGTATTTTAAGTGCCCTGACCCAGAGTCCAGCTTTAATGTTTATTTAATGTAGTGAGCGACTCTTTGGCTCACAGCTCACACACATCATGTAGAGGATGCTGCTGCTGACACGCCCTTAACCTGAGCTGTGTCTTCAGTGCCTACACACCCACAAAAAAAATGGTTTAAGCCAACCAGTCCATGTGTCTCTGGCTCCTGAGGTCACAGCCTTGGCCTCTGTGTCCTAATTCAGGTCCACACTCAAAGCCTAAGGTCTCACTCAGCCTGTCACTGAACCATCTCACCATCTCAATGACCTGCTAATGACCTGGACTTTGTTTTGGCCTGAACCTAAAATAGCTTAATGAGTGTAGAGTCTCAGCCATGGCTTAATGCCTTGAATCAGTTTGGGCAAACTATGTGCTTCTAGTAGATTGGAATCTGTCATTTGTAGGCCTCAATTCCTTACATCTGGAGTTACTCAGTAAATATGAGTCTTCAATAAAGTAATAACTCAATAGGAATTAAAAATGGCTGCCAGAAACCAGCTTGAGTATAAAATGCATCGGGGTCAAAAACTCGAGAGCAGAGCTCCCTTATAGAAGTGCAGTGGAACTTCTTAGAACAGCCAGCGTCTAAAGCACACACTGTGAAAAGCAATCAGTCTCCTTACTTAACCCTTTAACAGCCTTGGGCCTGACAGTGGCCCAAAGTTTAATTACCCACTTCTATAGCCTAAGAATAGCTCAACCAGTTTGCATTGAAGTCCCTGTAGTTGCTGAATAATAAGCCTAAGGCCCCATCCCATTTCACCCCTCACCCCTACCACTGAGCCCTTAGCCCTCCGTTTTGTGCATTCATGCCTAGGGGGTAGGGTGTCCAGATTTTTTTGAGGTAGAAGGGGTAGGGTGACTTGTTAGGGGCTACGTGGTCCTCCAAACTGAGGTTTTTCAGAGACACTCCAAACAGAGAGTTATGAGAAAACAAGAAAAACTGGCAAGATGGCTGAACAAGAGACCAAAGAAACCCACAAATGTGAGAATTTTCTCTGTTAAAAATGCGATGACCACTGTATTATTTCAGTTTAATGTTATTTTAATGTATTATGGTCTTTATTTCATAACAAGCATAAAAAATCACTAATGGCATGCTAATGTCTCGGTAGCTAGCTAGCTAAATTTCTTGTTCCACCTTAAATAGTCCAGCAGTTCTGATGCCCTGGGGTGCCAGAATGTAACCGCTGCTCCAATTAAGGTGGAACAGGAAAATTTGAATGAGAAGCTGGTGAATATCTGACTTCAGCCTTATATCACTGAAGAATAAGGGGTGGGTGATAATAAATAATTGCCCCCCTCTTTGAAGGCATATGATGTATAAATGTAACTGAAGTCCAGCAGTGAGGAGCTGAACTTTACCCTCCTCTGCTATCACTGCAGACTGGCAGGGTCGCCTACAGAGCAGCGCTAGTAGCTGTAATGTTCTTCTTTATTTGAGGGTCCCATTTCGTAAGGGAAGATTTCCACCACTACCCCTTGTAACTCAGTTCCAAGGGGCAAGGTGACACTCGAAAACAAGGGGTAGGGGTAAAAATAAGAAATGGGATTGGGCCTCAGTGTGTAATGAGCCTGGGATGTTAAAGGGTTAAAACAGTGAACTTAACTCATTTCGGTGAAGCTTGCTAAGTGGCTAGATCTTAAATAGCTCCCTGATGTTCATGCATATGCCCAAGTACATGGATTTGACTAAATATAAGCAGTTTCCACCCAGTGTTTACCTGCTGTTGCTGGTGTTTCAGACCTTAATGAGTTGGTTTGGGGTCTGGGACTGTATTCACTGCTCTACTACCAACACAGCCTCGTGAATCACAGAGCAGAATTCTGACCCATCATCACCTCCACATGGACTTCACAATACGTACAACACAAACAAGACTGGAGTCCCAGCTGGTGATCTTACAGCATAATTACAAGAGACGAACCACAGAACACGTGATAGAAATTACACACAACATGCAAAACACAAATCCAATCAGTTCCTCTCACTGAGATTCCCTTTAATGTGAATTCCGCTCTCAGTAACTGTGCCGTGTTTCTGGATCTTTCCGTATGGACGCCGCAGGGCGAAGGGGAAGCCCCACTTCCTCCCCGAAGGAGCGCAGCGCTGATGGTGAACACAGACACGTACCGCGGTGTGATGTCCAGACCAGCTGTTCCTGCCCAAACGAGCAAAACAAAGTGGAGAAACACAGCAGAGCTTTAACAGACAGGAGCGATGGAGAAGCACTCAGTATGACTGTGTTCTTCACATACGTCTGTACTTACGTCCAGTTAGAACAGCGGCCTACAGAGCTGTGGCTGCAGTGTATGACGCTAGCTGATTAGCTCACACTAGCTAATTATCACACTAGCTAATCAGCAGTTACTCCACACACTTAAAAACGATGGTTCTTCAAGGGTTCTTAAGTAAAGAAAATGGTTCTATATAGACCCATGAACAA